GGGGGGGGAGGGTGGGTGGCCGTCGCGCTATTTAATCGGCTATTGGCCGAGGAATCATGACTCAAGCCGTTCGCGGCTCACGCGGTTGCGGGAATCTCCGCCTTGTCAGACTTATCGGAATAACCCAGTCCCGTCGAATAAGCCGCGATCTACGAGCTAGCATAAGTTCTCCACTCTGCTGCTACATGGTCGGCCATTAGCGCCCGCACTGTATCCTATGAATAATGCACTCTTTGTGCCCTCACCACCCTATCAGATGATGGTTTCGAGTGAGCATCCGAAAGGTCAAGCCAGTAAACTTCTGTTCCAGTGATCGCATCTTCTGCTTCGTCGTTAGGAAAAAAGATTCCTGCTATGGCATATTTTCGCTAGGTCAACCAGTCAATCTGTGAAAAGGCGGTTATGATACTAGTTTGAGAAATCCTTCCACTAAAATGCGTATGAAATAGCCGATTGTTGTTCAGTTGTTGGCTTTTAATTGGACTTTAAGACCTGTCTGGAAAATTGCATGTGGGGCATCGCAGATACTGCTTGAAAGCAAACTTCTCATTTGCTCGCTTACTTCCCAAATGACTGTAGTACAGATGCCTCCGTTTGCTCTCAGCGTGGCTGTCTGCTGACTGACATCAAACGGATTATCTACTGAGTGCTCTCTCCTTGCGCAGTAACTTAGTAACCACTTGATAGTCGCCTACCGTAAGCTTCATGGTAACATTGATTTTGGGGCCTATTTTGTGTTTTCAGTAATTTGTTTACCACTATAGGAAAGACACGCAGTCTGCCTCTGTATAAGTAGACTTTGAAACATACTGTAGATCGAACCGAAAGAAACGTTTGTTTTGGCATGAGGGAAGAATCAGTAAACAAGAGAGCAGACTGAAGGTGATTCCAGTTAAAACGTCAACTTGGAAGATATTTTTTGCTGAATGGCCGTCTGGTCCTTTGCAATAGCCTTGAAGGCTCTAAAGACACCCCGTAGAAAAACATAGTTCAAAAAGCTGGACACAGAAGTTGAAGAATCAACATCGTTTGCATCTACAAAGCCTCAGTAATTTCACAAATGGCACCGCACACATCAACGAGAGCATGATGGGCCCTTGGCTCCATGGTAGAGTATTTGAATTTATGCTGAGGGATCAAACAGACCAAAAAATGAGGATGGGTACGGCTGATAAAATCAACAGGCTTATTCAGATCTTCCTTATTTTGAAAGTTTGTCCGGCAAACATATGTTTTCAGCAATTCATCCTCAGGCCAGTATAATTACAGAGATAATTAAAATCGTACAGTTGGACAGGGTTAGTAAGGTTCCTCTGATTACAACTTATCGTTTTCTCGCCGCCCGCATGACCAGAGCAGCGTGTAGAGGTTCGGGCACTCGGGGAGGGGATGAGGGGAGGAAATCAGGGTAAAATGTGAGCGTTGGGCGTGGGTCAGGTACATAGAGTGATAATTACCGTCACTTGCGCGGAGCGAACGCATTTCACTAGGGGACGGGGGCGATTTGCCGTCGCCACCGGGCGTCAGCGTCCACCATGAAAGTGGAAGGACTCATGTTAGCGTCTTCTGACAGCACAGCACTGGTGCATATGTCTTCCTGAATATAAGTACGTGCATGGGTCAATACTTCTGACATGTAAATACATAAATAGGTGTTTTATTCGCATTCTTTAGGTCGCAATGATAGCAATTTACTTCGCTTTCTGCACTTGTTTTTGAGTATTTTTAATGTGATAGGGATTAACTGTTCATTCCTTGTCCCAGACCACATTTGGACTTCACGGTCCAGGATCTTTTGAAGTTAAGAGGTTACGAAATTATCGTTGAAGTTCTTGTGACAGGCCCTGACAGGTTCGGCACAAAAACCGAACAGAGGCTTCTTCGATGCGGTATAATAACTGTATTAATATTCATGAGCGTTACTCTAGAAGTAATATACTTTCGGTTAATAAATTGTTCATCCGTACTTTTAACATGCCTAAAAACGAGACAAATATTTCGCCGATTTTCTGCAATTTTTTCTGAAATATGACCCCTCGTGGTAAAGAAAATAAATGTTATCTGAACTCTAGCTGGATGTTGCATTAGAAACTCTCTAGCTGGATGCGGACTATTCATGTTTTTTATTAGATCATGATGAGATGGAATAACTGACTGCTCCGAATTATTTCCCAATCAAACTTGTTTATCCTAGGTTATACTTGTCTATGCCTCACACCCCACAGGAAGCTTGGTAATGGGCTTCATTTTAAGTGACTATTTCCTTACATCGTGCCCTTTTAAAGTACTTTGTTAGGTTCCTGAGTATCCTTCTAAAAGTCCGCTGCGTTTATTACTAGGTCCTTTTGAAGTGTCACTGGAATAGTTTGTCAAATGAGCTTATGACTGTCCGGTAATTTTGCTGCAAGTAACAAAAGATATTGCAACAAGCTAAATGCGGTCAAAGACCTGCTCTTATTAACTGTGATTCT